CTAGTTGAGCTCTGATTCACGTGTTCTTAATTGGCAATTGCCTGATTAAAAATGAGGTTGAACAATTTTCCATGTATTCACAGCCACTTGTTTTCCTTATCTGTGAAATCTATTCACCTCTTTTGTCCATTTTTCTATTTGGTTGTATTTTTCCTATCAGTTTCTGTATCATTTCTTCTGGAGTACAATCTTGTCAGATGTGCATTTGTAAATATCTTCTTCAAGTTTGTGATTTGTCTTTTCATGCTTTTAATGGTGACATTTCCTTTCATTGAGATTTAATTTACAGACAACAAAATACACAAGTTTTAAGTATACAGTTTGGTCAATCTTGACAAATTGATTCATTTACATATAGCCTTGGAAACCCTACACAGGGTTGCTATGAGCCTGAGCAAACTCGATGGCACTTAACAACAACATGCCTGTATAACCACCACTCCAATCATGATTTTGTAATTTCCAACACTTTAGGAAGCTGCTATGTGTCTCTCTTCATTCTCTCGCCCCGATCCCTGGGGGCAATCATAGTTGCAGTATCTATTGTCAGTGATTAATGTTATTTGTTCTATAATCTTACATAAATGGAATCATACAGTATGATACTCTGTTGTTGCTCAACATAGTGGTTTAGAGATTCATCCATGATTTGCAAGTGGTCTGTGACTTATCTTTTCATTTTCTTAATGGTGTCTTTTGAATTGCAAACATTTAAAATTTAGATGAAGCCCAATTATCTTTTTTTTGTTTTGTTTTATTATGTCCTTAAGAATTCTTTGTCTAATCCAAGGTCATGAAATTTTTCTATTTTTTTCTTTTTTAAAAGTTTTACCATTTTAGCTTTTTCCATTTAGTTCTATGATCTATGTTGAATTAATTTGTATTAATTCAAATTTGGATATCCAATTGTCCCAGCACCATTTATTGAAGAGACTATCCTTTACACATGTGAGTTTTCTTAAATTATATTTTAAATGTAGCACATGTTACATAAAAATATGTATTCTATTCTAGTATTTTGGTTTTCTACTTCAGGTGATCCACTTATGGGAGTTTGCTGATCTTCTATATTCCGTCTTTTTTTTTTTTTTTTAACTGTATTTCTACTTAATTTTTTACTTTTTAAATTTGTATGCTTTATGTCCCTCACTGAATTTCTGCAGAGTCTAAACTTCCCTGGGCTTCTTTGTATGCTGTCTTGGTTTCTACGATGTTTTTGTTTTTTCTTCTACTTCTTTTCTGAGTTCTGCTGGCTCCCATTTCCTCATCTATATCCTGAGTTTCAGGGAGTATATTTTTGCTGCCACTTACAGCAATCTGCTTCCATCCAGCAGTGCTTCCAGTGCTGGCCTCTTGATTCCCTTCCCCCAGGTGGCTTCAGTTACACTTCATTTCAGGACTTCTCTGGGGATCACGGTTGTTTTTGGCAGTCTTCATGTGTGTTTTGGGTCTGCAGATTACATCTGTCTCCTTGTTTTGCTGAAAGCAGAGTTATTTTCCTTCTTTTTGTTGCTTTTGTACACTATCCAGGAGTAGAAAAGGAAAATTACCAACTCGTATCCCCATGCTAATACCTGAAAACCCCAGCCACAGATCTCTGTTTATTTATCCTTCTAATAATTCATCAGTACCAGGGTCTGAAATTGATGTCTACAACAATTCTGAAAAATTATAAGCTATTTTCTCTTTTTAAATTACCTCTTTCTCTTCTCTTCTCATATCTCCTTCTGGAACTCAACTTTATTCTCTGTGGACCTTCTGTCTTTCAGATTTTCTAATCTCTCAGATTTTCATCTTGCCATCTCTCTGGACTGGGTTCTGAGTACTCATATATCTTCTCAGAATGGCTTTAAGTAACTATTCGATTAAATTGCAAGCCACCCCTCCTGCTTGGTAGCTCTTTGTGTCCTTTTTCTTTTGTCTTTTTTACCTGCACTATTTTTTTTTTTAATTTTAAGTAAACTGTTGGTCCAAGTAAAGCATACATATGAAAAAGTACACAAAAGCAAAGTACCCAGCTCAGTTAATAACCCAAAGCAAATGAATCCATGTAATAGCACTCAGATCAGAAAACAGGAAACCAACACTCCTGTGTTCTTCACCCTCACTCTTCAACCAAAGGTAACCATTCTCTTAACCTCCATTTATTTTGGTCCACCTTTTAACTTTATATAAAAGAAATCACAGAGTATGTATTCATTTGTGTCTGGCTTCTTTTGCTCATCATTTTATTTGTGAAATTCACTCATATTGTTGGGTGTACTACTGATTCTCATTGCTGTGTGGTATTCCATTATGTTAATATATCAAAATTTACTTATCCCTTCTATTATTGAAGGATAATTTGGTTGCTCCCAATTTTGGTATTACAAATAGTGTTGTGAGGCCCTGGAGGCCCCGTGGTAAAATTCTTGCTTTCCATATGGGAAACCTAGTTTGATTCCCAGCCTATGAACCTTATGCACAGCCACTAGTGGTTGGACCGTGGTGGATTGCATTTTGCTATGAAGCATTGTAGGTGGATTGCATGTTGGTGTGGTGCTGTAGAATAAGTACTAGACTGTAAGGCTGACAGTTCAAACTCACCAGTCACTCCTCAGAAATCTTATACAGGGTTGCTATGAGTAGAAGTTGACTTGACAGCACTTAACAACAACAGTAAAGCCAAATAGGGTTTGGGAGCACTTCCTGATTAAGACAGACTAGGAAAAAGACCTGGTGATCTACTGCCAAACATCAACCAATGAAAACTCTATGGATCATAATGGTCTGATCTGCAACTAACTGGTCATAAGGATGCATTCCATTGTTCATAGGGTTGTTGTGAGTCAGGTGCTGACTTGAGTTGCAACCACAACTACAAGAAACAGTGTTGCTGTTAACATTTTTTCTACATGCCTTTTGATCATTCTGAATAGGTTTTTCTGTTTGTCTTTCTAGGTCTTTCTAGGAGTGAAGTTGCCAGGTTAGAGAATATGCCTATTGGTTCTAAGTTGCTCATCTTCTTGGAACTTTATCTGGATATCCCTTTAATTTTCTGCTTGACATTCTTCAGACCACACAGTTGACATGAACTCTGAATGCAAACATACATGAGACTCAACTTTGGGCTACAAATTTTTAAGATTTTCTCCACACTCCACTCAGAACCACTCTGGCAACAGGCAATTTTATGTCGTGGATTATTTCTCACTAAGGTGTCACCTGCTAGATTGCCCATCTTGGTTGGTGCTAGGCTTTTTCTCCTGCTCCCTGTGTGTCTTCATTTTCTAAAACAGAAACTCAAGTTCTTTAAGATTTTCCAGAAACATAGAGGACAAAAGTCAGTTTTGGCATTCACTTAACTCATCGGCTTCCTGCTTTAAAAACTTTATTTTTGGTTTCTGTGGATTTCTCTCTTTTACTCAGCAATGTATTTCACAAAAGAATTTCTTCTATTTTATCGAGCTTCCCACTCATTCCAATAAGGACAATTTCAGGGAATCCAGTCTGCCATTGGTTTTTAACCCCTTTGCCTCACCTACCCCCTCAACTCTTCTGCAGCAGCAGGCCCTTTATGTAAGACATCTGCCCACCCCAATCAAACTCTGAACCTCCTCCCTAAACTTAGATCCACTCTTCCTCTGCCTCAGAGACCACCCAAGGGGAACCCTACCCCAAGGTATATCCCTTGCCTTGGCACTTTGCCTGAGGTCGAGAGCAGGGACTCTGGAGAGAGATACTTGTGTTCTGACCAACTGGTTTGATACCTCTATCTCAGGCAAACTGTTTCACATCCCTCGTCTTGACTTCCCCACCTGTAAGTAGGGACTTTGAAAGGCTTCATGGAGCACTGAGCACCCAGAATATTATATAAGAGTCTTCTGTGTTTATTAGCATGCACACATTCTCAAACAGTTCCTAACCCACTCTTCTGGCGAGAGGAGTCCAGTTAAGATTGATAGCAGATTGCATCCTTGATGGATGAAGTAGCCCAGGGATACTGGGCTCTGATGGGATACAATGAGAGGAAACCTGCCCGAGTCCTTCAGATACTCCTCGTCTCAGTGCTCTAGCACTGCTATGACAGAAATACCACAAGTGGATGGCTTTAATAAATTTGTTCTCTCAGAATTTGTTGTCGTTGTTGTTAGGTGCCATCAAATCAATTCCAACTCATAGCCACCTTATGCACAATAGAACGAAACACTGCATGTATATAATCAATCGCCTTTTATGTTGTTTAAAAAAAGGCATTTGCAATGAAGAAGTCATTGTTGTTGCAAAATCCTATCATGTGATCTCCAACCTCATTTCTAGTACCAAGGTCATAATTTCCAACTACTGATGCTTTTTTTCTCTTTGTTTCCAACCTTTGCATTCCAATCACCAGTAATTATCAATACATCTTGATTGCATATTTGATCAATTTCAGACTGAAGAGGTTTAGGATGCTAGAAGTCCAGATTCAGATTCTAGGAAAAAGTGACTAGGAGAAGGCGTTTTTGTCTCTGTCAGCACTAGGTGAAGGTCCTTGTCTCCTTTCAACATCTGTGGACCTAGTGTTCATTCATTGGAGATCTCCATGTGTCTTGGCATCAATCTTCCACTGGGTCTAGGAGATTCGCAGTACAAGAGCCCTGGGTCCCAAGGATGTGCCACTTCCAGTTCTTCTCTTTTGGTGGCAATCAGACCCCTTTTCCTCTGTTTGTTTCACTCTCTTTTTATCTCTTGTAAAATAGAAGGTGACTGGGAAACTCCCCTTTCATTGGATCAGGGCTGTAACCTGCGTAAGGGTGTTACACTCCACTTTAAACCCTTACAATTGATGGACTGATCACTTTGGATCACACCATGACTATGTCATCACATAACTACCAAATGACATCATTACATAGCTACCAAACCTCAAACCACTGAGAATCACGGCCCAGCCAAGTTGATACATATTATTTTTGAGGGAGGGAGTGTACAATTTAATCCCTAACACCCCTCACCTGCCACATATCTCTGTGTTTCAGGGAACATCTACCATTATGTGCCCTGGTACAATACCAAACCTGTGGTGGCTGTGACCTCATACTGGGAAGACGTCAGTTTCCGCATGAACTGCCTCAACCTCCTCCATGTCACTGGAAACCGCCTGGTGAGTGATGCAGGAGAGAAATGGGGGCAGGGAGGGAGGGCTCAGATAATTGATGGGCGCTTTGGGAAATTGAGTCCCAGGCACAGGAAACTGGTCACACAGCTCATTCATGCATTCCATATTAATTGAGAGGTGACAGGCATAGAGCAAGGTGCTGAAGACACAAATGGGAAGTTAAAACAACAACAATAAAAAAAGGATAGTGGGAGTTTGTTATGTGCCGTGGAGTCTGTTCCGACTCATAGCGACCCTGTACAAGGTTTCTGGGGCTGTAAATCTTTTAGGGAGGAGAAAACCAGTTCAAACCACTATGCTACCAGAGCTCCTTATAGTGGGAGTTAAGTGCCATCGAGTCTATTCTGATCCACAGCAACCCTGTATAGGGTTTCTGAGGAGCAGCTGGTGAGCTTGAACCACCGATCTTGCAATCTGGTGCATTAGCCCAAGCCACAGCAGGACTCATAGTGGGAGTAGGTGCTCACAAAGAAATGAAATGTATGGACCCTGAGGAATGTGTAGGAGAATAACATTTGTGACATCATGATGTACCAGTTTTTGAAGTTTGAGGGTAGGTGACATGGGATAAAGCCAGTAAAGCAAGGAGGGATCATATCACAAAGGGTCTTAGTGCCTGTCAAGGAACACGGGCCTTAGAGGAGCCACTGAATGGGTTTTAGGCAAGAGAATGACCTGATGCCGCCTGCCTCGGATGCGACGTATTTGGTATTTGTACCTACAGACTTGGCAGGGAGCTAGGGTCAGGATTGACCTTCTGTGCTCCTTCCCAGTTCCATCCCTCTGTGGCTCCTTCCTGCCACCTATTTCGCCTGTTGGGTAGCAGGAAGGGTGAGTGAGGGTCCTGAAATTGCAAGGGCATGGGACAGCCTTGGACTGGCATCACCCTGGCTGAAGATACCTTGGGCCAGTCAGCCCAGGTCAGGTCCATGCTGACGCCAGCTCTGTTGCCATTTCTCTCCTGCTGGGCAGAAAGCCAATCTGGACACCCTGAAGTCCATGCGGAATCCCAAGGACCCAGCCCTGCTCCTCCAGTGGGAGAAACTGCGGAAGGAGCTGGTGGAGGACTGCGAGTAGGAATGCAGTGGGGATGGGAGGGGCTCAGGTCAGGACCCGCAGAACCCTTCTTCCACGAGAAATAGGAATTCAGCTCAAATCTCTCCCAGGCTTGAAACCCAAACAACAGAGTAGCTCTCTCCTGTCATTCAGACTCTTCCAGAAAATGGCACTGACCTTCTCATCCAGGATTGTCCCTGGCATTGCCTGATGTTCCCACCAAATGGATCTCTGCCTCTTTCCTCCAGTGCTTGTCCTTCTAAGATGCCCTCCTCTGCCTGTCAAAATCCTCTCCTCATCCCATGCCCCGCTTATGTCCCGCCCCTACCCCCCAGTGATTGGTTGGTCCCCATCTCTTCTCCTCTAGGAGGTCCTTGAATGAGGCCTGGCACATTGCAAGGGCTTGAATGACTGACAAAGACATGTATGAGAATGGAGAGGTCAGATTCACAGTGACCAGGGCTTCCTAAGGAGGGAAAAAGGTCCTTGGGTAGCAAGCAGTAAAAGGGATAGACACCTCAAGGCTAGGAAGGGCCCACTGGCCTAAGGAAGGGCCAGAGGGTCATGGAGCTCTGAGACAAAAGAGAAGTTCAGCCTCCTCTTACCCTGCCCTGACCACAGGCGCCCTCTGCCCTGCCTGACTGATCAGTCCAAAGCCACAGAATTGGACAAGAAGAGATGGATGCTCCGCAGCCTTCTTCTGCAGGAACTGGCCAAACAGGCCAAGGAAGCCAAGCCCAAGGACATGGTGGCCACAGTGGAGGGCTGGCTGTACCGTCTCAACTCTGTGCTCCCTGAGGTGGACTCTGGAGATACTGGTGGGGCAGCAGGGCTCTAAGGCAGTCAGGCAGGGCCTGACTCTCTCACACCTTGACAGCCCCAGGTGAGCCTCCCAGATGTGATGATCTGGCTGGTGGCCAAGGACCAGCGAGTGGCCTATGCACAGGTGCCCGCCCACACTATCCTCTTCTCCCAGGCCGGGCCCCTGCAGTCCGGCAGGTTCTGTGGGAAGACACAGACACTCCTCCTACAGGTAGGAAAGAATGGGGTCCTCAAGAGAGCAGCAGGCCCAGAAATACCTCAGAGAGAACCCCTGAATTCTCAGAGCAGCTCTATGGAGTCTCCTTGAGGGCACAACCCACTTCCTTTCTCACTGGCCCTTTACCCAGGTAAAATAGGGTTGGTACAGTCCCAAGAGGAAGGCAGGAAGTTGGGGCTGTTAACATGTGGGAAACATCAAATCCGTCTTCCTCATCCATGGCCTTCAAATTCATTCCCACATCATCCTCACTGCCACCAGCCCTTTACCCTGGATTGGGTGAGACTCAAAATATTTAATGGCCTATAAGGCTTGGGCACCAGCCAACCATGCAAGTCATAAAAAAGAACTGATCACCTCTCCACCTCACCCCACCTTGAGGCAGTTGGTTGGGACATCACTCTGCTCCCTCCCTTCCTGACACCTCAGTGCCTCCTGGAGAAAGGCCAACCTCCTTGGCCTGACCCCTGGCCACTCCTCCCTGCTTCATCCCTCTCTGGTTTGTACTCAGATTCCCCATCATTGTGGAATGCCCCTCCCAGGTCCAAGAAACACTGGGACTTGAAACCTGGCTTGTCCAAGCCTCAGTCTGTCCCTCTGTCAAGTGGGAGTACTGCTGCTGCTGCCCACCTCAGGGCAGTGTGTAAGGATTAAAGCTTAGAATGAGGACTCGGTGCTCAGCACAGTGCCTGGCGCAAAGCAAGCACACAATAAGTGTGCATTAACACAGCTGCTGGGGAAGCTCTGCCAACCTCCTAGGCACCACTGCCTTCCCTCCACCCCCCCACCCCCACTCCCCAGCCTCTCTGTCAAGCAGAGTTACAGGGCGTTGTCCTCCTCATTCCCTACTCTGGACCATGTAGGTCTAGAAGGCAGGAACTCTGTATAACTCCACCTCTTAGCTTTGTGTGAAGTCTCTTGCTCCCCGGGGCTCAGGGTGACCCATTCCAGGACTGTGCTCCTTTTCTCACCTGCACCCTATATCTGTGGGATGGACCTGCCTTTGTCTCAGTACCCAGAGGGTGAAGGACAGAAGGACATACTCCCAGCCCACCTCCGGGTCTGCATGTGGCTTGGCAACGTGGAAGATAGTAAAGATCTTGTGCTGCTCCGCCATGGCAGTATGGTCGTGTACACAGAGACGGTGAGCGTTGGCCGCTGTGGCATGGAGCAGGGCTCACTGGTGTGGGGGAAGAGAGACAGAGTCTGAAGAACAGACCTGGCAGGAGACAGAGAATGGCTTCACAAAACCCACTGCTGTTGAGTCAGGACATAGTACCCTATCGGGTTCCCAAGCCTGTAACCTTTACTGAAGCAGACAGCCTTATGTTTCTCCCACAGAGCAGCTGCTGGATTCAACCCACCAGCTTTGCAATCAGCAGCCCAATGTTTAAACCACTGTGCCACCAGGGTCACATTTAATGGAAGGAAGTGGTTGAAGCTACAATTGTTGTTGTTAGCTACTGTCGAGTAGGTGCCAACTCATAGTGACCATGTACAGGGTTTCCAAGGAGTAGTTGATGAGTTTGAACCACCAGCCTTGTGGTTAGCAATCCAGGGTTTAGTCTACAGTGCCACACCATTGCCTAGCACTAAAAAGAACAAGTGTTTATGATCAAATCTCAGGCTTACAGAAGGGGGTCAGTAATTGGAAGGTTGCTCTGATTAAGCAACCATAGCTGCTGCCAGCTCAGGGTCCCTTGTTGACAAGCTATAGGCATGTGGGTGACGGGGGTGACTGGGGGCCCATTCACTCTCTCCCTGATGGAGGTTCATGGAGATTTCTCCCAGGTAATGTGTGATAAGCAAGGTTTCGACTGCCGGGGGCTGCTCAGTTGCTAACATGGCAGCCTAGGATCCCCATAGACCCAGCTAGGTGTTTCAGGCCAGTCTGGTGGTCCTGGGAATGGGGAAACCGGGGAATAGTCTGCCCTTCCAGAGGAACAGGAAAAGAGGCATCTACCCACAGAGCATAAGCCCTGAGGCCCAAGAGCAGCCAGAGACTGTTCTAGAAACAGAGGAGGGAGAGATTTGCTGGAGGACTAAGGAAGGAGCTCTGGTAGCGTAGTGGTTGCGAATCGGGCTGCAAACCTTAAGGTCAGCGGTTCGAAACTACCAGCTGCTCCGCGGGAGAAAGATGAGGCTTTCTACTCCCGTAAGGATTTACACCCTCGGAAACCCTGTACAGGGTCGCTATGGGTCGGAACCGACTCGACGGCACTTAACAACAACAAGGGAGGCTCAGGAGAGGCATCTGACAATCGAGGGAAAACCTGTTTTGGGTTTCAGGCTTTTTAATTTACTGATTTGAAAGATAGTTTTAAGTTATATGTTGTAGATGGATATATTATGTTTAGCCAGCCCCTGCTTGGGATTTTGAGAGGCAGAGGTGGAGTGGGATTTCGGATTAGATGCAGGGAGCAAGGAAGTGGTGGGAAGAGACAGCAAAGGTGGGACAATTGGGACTGGCTGGGTTCCCCTGGGTCTGCAGTGAGAAGGATGTGGCTTCAGGGCAAGTCAAGTGCGGCTTCCACCACACTCCGCCCTTGTTAGCTGAGTGACTCAGGGCAGAGTTGACCTCTGTGAGCCTCAGTCTCCTAACCTGTACACTGGAGCTGTGCCGATGGAAGGAGATTGTGTAAGCCAGGCCCACAGTGAGTGCTTGATAATGGAACTTGCCCACACTGATTAACGATAGCTCTGAGCGCTGGTTTTAAAAAGGATTTTGTGGCTACACCTCAGCTCAAGGGAAAGGATTACGACTGATAAGCCATGTCTACGGTGGTTCAAGCTCACCAGCTGTTCCTCAGAAGCCTTATACAGGGTCGCTATGGATTGGAACCGACTCAACAGCACGTAACAACGGGGCTGTAGATAGAACAGAGAAAGCAAGGGAAATACATATGTCGACCACAGGAGGACTTCCTTCCCTTCCTCACCCCTACCTTCATAATAAAAGTCACTGGCCCAAGGGCAGGGACCATGGGACCCCTTGTTGCCTAACTACCATATTGCTAGGTGGTAGCTACACTCCAGTGGAGACCCAGGACAGAGGGTGATGTCCAGTGTGGACAAGAGGTGCAGATACTGACGAACTCCCCTCCCACAGTATGAGAACCAGGCCAAGTACAAAGACCAGTGGGGGCTACAGGGGCTCCACCGCTGCCCCAACTTCTCAGACGTCACAGGACGCACGGCCCTCCCCAAGGAGGATTTTAAGGTGCCTCCAGGATGGCACTGGCAGGGGAAGTGGATAGTGGAGCCTCAGAGGAGGTAAGGCTGGGGGTGCAGGGCCCTGAGCCTGTGTCCCTCCAGGCATGCCCCACCTGAATTGACCCTTATTTTCCCCTGAGGGCTGGGCAGGGCAGTCTGGGAAAGGTGGGCAGATAGCACAGAGAGCATGGGGCATGCGTACTTGTCAGCCCAATCAGCCTTCCCCCAGTTGAGTCCCAGTGGACTGGGTGCCTACCCTGCCTGGATGCCAGGCCCTGCTAACCCAGTCTTGCCCAGAGCAGGTAGGGTGCACATGGCCAGCAGAGGACCCTGGGGGCCTGGGGTCTCCTCTCCCCCAGACTCCTCCTGGACATAGACATCAACAAGAGTCAAGTGCTGGAGGAGGTGTATGAGAACCAGGCACGTGATATCACAGGAGCCTGGGTACCGGCACCCATCCCAAACACAGATGTGGTGAGCAAGGGTTCCTTCCAGCTGCCTTGTGGGATGTGTATGGGCAGCAATGCAGCAAGGTGGGGAGCCTCGGAAACTGGATGTCCGAGTGGAAATACCACTTGACTAGGAATTGTGATCTGCATCATGCTTTCCATACATTCAGCCCTTGGGTCTCCCTGCCAGGCACCGGTGGGGGATGTACACCAAGATGGTGGGGCACATACATGAAACAACAGAAAAAGGTAATGTTTCCTTCTCAGGCCTCTTTCAGAGGCAGCCGCTCCTTGGAAACCCTATACAGGGTCTCAACAGTACTTAACAACAATAACAACTTACCCTAAAGGAGAGAATCTCATTTTGGGACACTGCCCAATAGAACTTTCTGCAATAATGGAAGTGTTCCATGTCTGCACTGTCCTCCAAAGGATCTATCTACCTAAAGTTATATAAATCCAGCCAAATATAGGAAGACCTCTTTCTTGACACCCTTGCTAATGCTGCATCATAGTATTACCTTTGTATTTATGCCATGTAATTATTTTTTTATAAAAAAGCTGAAATGTGGCTAGTAAAACTGAGCAAGAAAACTTTTCATTTGGTTTCATTTCAACTAGAGATCCCTGGGTGGTGGTGCAAACATGGTTTGCTTAACCAAAGGTTGACATTTGAATCCACCCAGTCACCCAGTGGCCACGCAGAAGAAGTCAGATGACAGACATTGAAAACCCCGTGGAGCACAGTTCTACTCTGGAAATTGTGGGATCACCATGAATCAGAGTCCAATCAGCCAGCAACTGGTTTGTTTTTTAAATTCAAATTCATTTCCAGTTAAATTCCCAAATTGGACACTATAGATCTACCATCTCTGATACATGCTTACCACCAGTAGCTGATGAGTTGATTCTGACTTCCGGTGACCCCATGTGTGTGAGGGTAGGACTGTGTCCCATTGAGTTGTCAATGGTGGATTTTTTTAGTAGATTGCCAGGTCTTCCTAGGAGCCTTTGGGTAGGCTTAGATCTCCAACGTTTGGTTAGCAGTAGAGCACATTAATCTTTTGCACCACCCAGAGTCTAAGACATGCTGCTGCTGCTTCTTGTGCACCTTCGAGTAGGTTCTGAATCATAGTGACCCTCAATAGGGTTAGTAAGAGCTACTGGTGGGTTTGAACTGCCCACCTGCAGTTAGCAATCCAGTTCTAATACATGCTACTCTCCTCTTTCTAACAAGAGGAGAGAGTAGGCAGTAGGCTTGGTCTTGGGTAAGCAACAGCTTTTAGCTGAAATTTAGTCATACTATCTTGTTTTCACAATAATTATTATGTTTTAAGTGCCATCGTACCTATTCCCTATTTATGGTGAATGACATTAATTTTTAGTGGCTTATATAAGATTGCTTTTTAAAACATTTATTTTAATTTCAATAAAAGCAAATCAATACAAACATCAAGTGAATATATATGGGTGGCAAAGGATGCTGCCTGGTCCAGAAGATGAGACTGTATCTATTTGGAGGCTACTGTGCCTACAGGCGATGCACAAATTGACTATAGAAAGAGGGAAGGTGGCCCGTGTTCCTCATGGTAGCCCTCATTTCAGCTCAGATGCCCTCAGCTTTCTCTGTCCACCCACAGGATGGAAACTCCATGGATCCGCGGGAGAATATGAAGTGTCCCCGAGGCTGGTACATTCAGAAGAACTGGGCTGTGGAGCTGAACCATGCAGTGGACAATGAGGGTTAGTCCTGTGGCCAAGGTTTGGAGATGGAAAGACCAAAACGTCTGCTGAGCTGTTGCTCATTCTGGACTGGCAGAGGTGTTCAGTACTCTGACAGCCTCAGAGTAGCCAAGTTCTTGGTTAGAGTGGACCTCAATTCCTGGGGCCCCCCATCCCCCAGAGAACAGAGACTCCACGATCTATAGACACGGGCCTGAGCTGTGAGAAGAGAACAGGTTGTAAATTTCTCCTGAGGCCCGGCCCGGGTAACGTTTGGTGGATGCCTGTAATGTGAACCTCCTCACTGAACCTGAGTCCACCCAAGGTAGCTCCAGGGACTGGCAGTCTGAAGACCTGCTGGGTTCAAGTTCCAAACTTTTCTTCTTACTTATGGTATGAACTCAGGTCACAGTACATCTCTGAGTCTCCCCTTCCTCATTTGTAAGGTTAAGTCACATCTATCCAGGAGTGACAAAATGTGAACATATCTTTTCTTTCCACAAAACAGGCCTTAGGGCCAGAGAGACTTGAGGAACATCACAGCCCCTTTAGGCCCATCTTGCAGCCCTGGTCAAACCTCCTAGCCTATAAACACCTGGTTCCAACAGGCTGGGAGTACGGAGTGGGGCTTCCGCCCTTAGGCCTGCCACAGGCCTGGAACTCTGTGGAGAAGACCTACTACTCGGTGCGGCGGCGGCGCTGGGTGCGCATGCGCTACCGGAGCCCCCAGAAGTTGACCCATGAGCAGGAGACCCTTTCCTTCCTGCAACTGGTGAGGAGGCTTCCACGGGCAGGGGCTCTGGCCGGGTCTACCTCGGGCATTGGAAGGAAGACTCTGCTTTCTTCCTGCAGCACAGCCCCAGTGTGGCCGAGGAGGATGAGGGCTGGGAGTATGGCACCTTCGGCTCCAAGTTCCATCTGAACCCTCAGCCCACCAGCCAGTTCCGCCGACGCTGCTGGCACCGCAGGCTGGCCCCCAACAAAGATAGGGGCATTGCACCCATATTTCTTCTTGAGGGATCCCTGGTAAAGCCTCCCTGTAACCCCACTTCCCAGAGCCAGGGCCTGGCCTGGATCTGGCAAAGATTATGAGATGCCCAAGGTTGGATGCTGACCATTAGGAGTGGTGGGAGAGGAGTGGACCTCAGCTCTACATTCCCGGGCTTTAGTGGGTGGAGCCTGTGAGAGGAAGGGGTTGATCTGGGCCTGGGTTGGAGGAGATAGGAAAAGCACCCAAGAGCCTCAGAGGTGACCCTCTTAGGCACTGAGCATGAATCAGACTCAACAAGCTAAGGAAAAGGAAAAGGCAGAGGAGACCAGAACATCCTTATGGGGAATGAGCCAAATGTTCTCCAACATCTGGAGACCAACCCCAGAGAATACCCAACCACCGGACATGCCCTTCATCTACTGCATCTTCAACAGTGAGCATTTACCTGGGAGTCGACTTGGGTGACCCCAGAGACCCAGTGCCTGAAGGAAGGGAGTGGGGAAGATCAAGGTGGGCTAGTGGAAAAGCAATCTTAGGAGATCCTGGGGCATCTCTCTTACCCAGAGCCTAACTACTACCAGCTCTTCTGCTACATCTACCAGGCCCGAAACCTGGGGCACAACCAGATCCAGACATTCCAGGGTAGGTAGTAGGCACCGTTTTCCTTCTAGCCCCTCAAAGACCTGCCGATGTGGTCACCCAGAAGTGTAAAGAATGTGGGAAGAAAGGGGAGACAGCTCATGGCTCTAGTTTGGGGAAAGGACACAAAAACAAAAAATGTAAGGTGGGGCTGGCTACTCTTGACCAGAGAAGGGGGAGTTGAGTCCTCTTCTCAGTGCTGACCACTTAGCTGGGTCTCAAAGAGGAAGTGTTTGTACTAATGAGGAGCAAAGAGCAGGTAGAAACAAAACCTTAAGAGACTTGAAGGCAAGAAAGAGGATGGCATGCTTGGGGAAGAATGTGTCACTTGTGGTTAGACCAGATGATGGGATGGGGGGTGAAGGTGGGGGAGGGAGAGGTGTCAATTTCAGTCCCTGTGAGGGAGGAGCCTGTACTACTTCCTGTAGGGAAAACCCGTTGAAGGCTTTAGGAGGTGAGTCACATACTCCCTCCCACTCCTGTTAGTGGCAATACTTTTAAGGAGCCAGGTAGCGGGATGAAGTTTAGACTAGGGCAGTGGGTGGCAGAACTGTTAAGGATGCCTGCTGGGAGCTCTGTCCATTGGGCATCACCACACATCAAGAGGGCCATATAATGTACCCTGGTGCCAAGGTCACTAGTTGATGCCGTAGAAGGGCAGCCACAGTGTGGCCTAGTCTCCAGAACTCCTCCTGAAGATCCCCGGGCCTTCAACACGGTAGGCATGAAATACATGTTCACAGAGCCAACAACCTATGGTTATCCACCCAGTTGCTCTATTGATTACACTAGAGTGGGCAGCTGGCAGTGGCTGCCAGTCCTGGGTCTCCCTGGGCAGCTGGTCCAGCAGTGGCAGCTCAGACATGAGCTTCCGCCTCTCTCTCTCCCGCCCTCCAGAGCCTTTCATTCGAGCGATCTTCTTGAACCATAGCCAGTGTACCCAGACCCTGAGTAGCTCTGCAGCCCCCACGTGGGCCCAGACGCTGCTCTTCATGCACGTCCTTCTGTATGAGAACCCCCAGGACACCAAAGACAGCCCACCGCTCATGGTGCTGGAACTGTGGCAGCAGGACTCCCAGGTAAAGCAGGTGTGCTGGGGGAAGAAAAGGAACTGCCTCAGAGTTGCTGAGGAATTTTTTCCTTTAAAGGAAAATGAGAAAAGTGCTCCAATGGTGCTGAATGAATAGTAGCAGCATGTAAACATGAATGTTAGCTGTTATCCTACAACTATCAGAATCCAGGGGATGAGCTAGAGCACTGTCAGCTGGCCCTTCATGTCCCTCCAGGGCAAAGAGAGCTTGTGGGGAAGAAGCATGTGGTCCCCAGTGGTCTGGCTGGATCTCCAAGACAGGACCCTGCCCCCCATGAGGTGGCATCCCCTTGTGAAAGGGACAGGGGAGGAAGAGGGCGAGATCTTGGCATCCTGCGAGCTGATCCTCGAGACCCAGGTACTGGGAGAGGGCTTGGATGGGAGGTGTAGTGCCCAGGGTCTCTTCCTCAGCTACTAGTTTCCAGAGCCAACTTTCCCCAACTCCACTCACCACCCCACCCCCCAAAAAGCCTGAGAACTAGACCATTGGGCTTGGTGAACTTGACCTATTCATGCTCCCCACAGCTCCCCAACCAACTTCTTCCCACCCATGTGAATCTGGGGCCTCCTCAGTTGGACCTTCTCAGGTACCTGCTTGAGTTGAGGCAGAGGGCAGAAAACCCAGCCTAAAGGGGTCTCATGTGTTGTGCTCTCCTCGCAAGAGTGTTAGAGAGAAGAAGCCACCGATCTTAAATGTTCCCTGGAAGGATAAGACCTATTTGCTCCCCAAGGACATCCAGCCCACGCTGAAGAAGATGGCTGTTGAGGTGGTAGTGGTGTGGGGCAGGTGGGGGCCAGGGAAGGAAGCAGGGGGCGGGACCGTGGGCAGGGAGAGAGCACCACCCAGAGCAGACTGGAAAGCCATGGAATGTGCTCTGCTGACACTCCATGGACCTTTCTATTGGACCCAAAGTTTAGACCCAAGAAGATACTATCTGGGAGATGGAGAGAAACGAGAGAAATGAAAGGCAGAAGCTGTGATATAATATTTTAAATCATTTTAATGCAAATCTCTGCTATCAGTAGTGTACAAAGCTTTAGCATTCATTGTAGCATTTGAGTCTCACACTGCCCCTGAGTAGTAGGGACCTTTTTCAAAGAATGAAAATTCAGAAAGACAGCATATTCCATGCACAGTGGCATAGGGACTAAGCGGCAGGGCCAGAATTTGGGCCCAGTTCTGCCTGCCTCCAACTGCCTGGATACTTCTCACCTGTCTTTTGAAAGTAGTATGGTGGTCCCCATTCTACCTGTGAGCCCTGCCTTGATTTGGCAAAGAGTAAAGGTTGGTTAGGTCCTCCTCAAGATAGGCAACCTGGTTGGCTCATATTTTGGACCCCTGAGGTCCATCAGTAAGGGGTGTACATTCCTGGGATGCTCATTGTCTGTCAGGTGAGTAAGAACACAGGATGCTGGGTCACTGAATGGCCACAGCGTTCTATGGGCTACAAGTCAGCAATGGGCTAAATGCCAGGAGGGACCCCTGGGAAACCTGGAGCACCACCCCTTCCTTGCTTCTCTGGGCCTCAGAGGCAGCCAGTCTCAGGAACTCTCCTGAGGACAGATGAGAGGTCAGACAAGGCAACATGTGAGTAAGAGGTGTCAGTGGAGATATAGTCACAGTGGCTGAAAGAACCTCCCTCCCAGACATGGGAGGACAGATAGCATTTAGGCCTGAGGACCTTCAGACTGATTACTCAGTTTTGTTCCCCAACCCTGCATGCTCTCTGATGTACCACCATTCCTAGGATGGCCTCTTCTCTCTGGCCAGAAGCTCATTAAAGAGGCACTGGCTACCCCTTACTGTGCCTCCCCCTCCTTTACTGGCAGGTCCTAGTTTGGGGCCTTCGGAACTTGAAGAATGTGCATTCCCCCTATCTTTTGGTGGAATGTGGGGAACAGTCCCTGAGGACAGAACCCATCAAGGACTTCCAGACCAACCCCAACTTCCCCCAGTCTGCCCTCTTCTTCACGCTGGTAAGAGGACCTTGGGCAAGAGACTTTGGGGCGGCTCTCTTCTACAGGGAGTGCTCACGTTCCCCACTTCTCCCTGGGGGTGCAGTTTATGCCTACAGAGGAGGCCTACTCACTGCCCCTTGTGGTGAAGGTGGTGGACACCCAGGACTTCGGCCAGCAGACCGTGGTGGGTCAGGCCAACATCAACTTCCTACAGCCATATTTCTGTGACCCCTGGGCTGACAACTACGTGCCCCCAAGAATTCCAAGTACGGCCCTTTCTCCTTGTCCTTCCCTAGGCCTCACCTCCAGCCCCCAACTGAGTGGGATGAAGCCCTGGTTCCCCTCTGGGTTGGTCCCTCCACCTCACCTTTTGGCCCCTCTCCTGACACTCATGATTGCACGTCCTCCAAACAGCGTTGTCCAGGAAGAAGCACCAGGAGGTGAGTAAAGGGTTTGAGATCTCACCGTCTCTGACACCACTGAAGGAGATATCCTTTGTCAGTGAAACAGAATTCTGAAATCTGTGGCCCCAATGTGAGGTCTATTCGCACACTAAAACTCTAAAGCAGTGATTCTAACTGTACATCAGAATCATCCGAGCGCGCTATAGAAATCCTGAATATGATATTCTGGGCACCTGGAGAGACAGCAGATTGAGTCTGGGGTGGAGCTGGAGACTCTGCATTTCGGAGCCATTTCCAGAGTTCAGTCTGTGCCTGTGGCCAGGAGGACTGAGCTGTACTTACCCTCTTTCTTATTCCCCAATCTCACGTCTCAAGGCCCCTGAATTAAAACCAGAAAGCCTATGAGAAGGAAGTAAGCTCCGGCCTCCACCTGATCTCTTCTTTTCAGAAGTCAGAGATGGTGACTGAGCTACGGGCTGCCTAGCCTCACCTTGTTCCTCCTCTCTCATTTTCAGCTCCTAGATTACCTCTATGAAAAGTTATGGCTCAAGTACAAGAAAGACGAGGTGGGAAATAGCCTCAGCAGCTAAGAGTGTAGGGTGGGAGGGCAGCATGGCCCTGGGTAGAGGAAGGCTGTTGTGCCTCTGCCCACCCGACTCCCCACCAAGGGCCAAAGCTACAACTACCCTCTTCCCTGCCAGGATGACTATGACCACGAAGTGGATTGGTGGAGCAAGCTGTTCTGGGCCACAGGAGAGACTCAAAAATCCTTAAAGTACAAGGACAAAGACTACCATACCCTAAAGGTTTGGAGGCCCCTGGGAGGGGAGGGTGCTGAGAGAGAGGTAGAATAGAGTCTCCTAGGAAAAGACCCAGCCACATCCTTGCAGTAACTCAGGCTGCCGAGCTGAAGCAGGCAGTGCCGACTCGGGCCCTTGATGGGGCAGATGCTTTGAAGCAAGACCTGGGAGATGGTGGTCCCTCAGTCCCAATCCTGGGGATGATCTCCCTTTAGGCAGACCTAGGCCTGTTCCTAACACTAGGCTGGGTTGCACACATGCTCCCATAGGTGTATGACTGTGAGTTGGAGGCAGTGCCAGATTTCAAAGGCCTGCAGGACTTCTGCCAGACTTTCAAACTCTACAACGAGCAGCCTGTGCTGGACAGCCCAGTGGTGGGAGAATTCAAGGTGTGTGTCCAGCCCAGGTTAGCTGCCCTATCTCGTGCACCCCTCCTATCCTAGACTACTCTAATAAAAGCCCTGGCCTTGTCATGCTCATTCTGAGAATGGCAGGCAGGGCTTGTAAACCAGCTTTGGGAGCGGAGGAGTAGAGCTTGGACTATGCAAGGCAGGGATTCAGTATTACCTCCCCCTCACACTCAGCTCTGGTCTGTGCTGGTCTCCCAAGGCCCCAGAGTCTTAGAAAACAAGTTCCAACCTAATGAGATAGGTGGGTGAAATTGTTCAGAAACAGCTAAAACTGGAAACTCACCTACTGATTTCAATTCTTTTGTCCAACACTCTACCTGCAAAACACTGTGGGCCCTACAGAAGGGCTCTGTTGCATCTGCCACTATTCTCTGTTCTGCTGTCTTTGTCACCCTCCACCCACCCACTCTCCTTAGCCTGGACCAGGGGCATCACTTGGCTGGTTCTACAAAGTTCAGCCAGCCCTGGTAACTACCACTACCACTGGACTCCCTACACGTCGCCCTCCTCAACTCACACACAGGGCCTGTTCCGCATCTATCCATTTCCTGAGGATCCTAAAGCTATCAAGCCCCCCCGCCAGTTCTTGGTTTGGTCTGAGAGAGAAGGTTTCCCTCAGGAATGCTTGGTGCGGGTGTATGTGGTACGAGCATTCAGTCTGCAGCCCCAGGACTACAATGGTCTGGTAAGAGAGTAGCCCCGACCCGGGTCCCTTCCACACCTTGTCCTAAATCCCAATCTAGAGCTCCTTCAGGTTTCTGACACCCAAAGTGCCAACTCTCCACAGGCCCCTTCTGGTGCCAAGGGGCTTATTTATGCCCATGCCTGCTCTTGCAGACCCAACTCATTTCCTATTCTCACACCCATGTTTGTGATCTCCAGTGTGACCCTTATGTGATCCTGAAACTGGGACAGAAGCGACTTGGCAACCGAGACACATATCAGCCAAACACTCTGGACCCCATCTTTGGCATGTGAGCTGCCCCAACTCACCCCATCCCATTTCTCTGTTCCCATTCACAAGATGCCAGGAGGATGTGCCACAAGGCAAACAATTCTTCCATTCCTCTCTCGTATCCAGTTCCCAGCATGGTGGCTTATACACTCTGGGGGCTCAATAGATGCGAGATAACTCGATGGGTGGTCCTTGTCTACTCACCCTGTCAAATTCATTGTCTAGGAAGAAAGCTCAGAGTACAAGATCCCAGGTCTATCCAAAGTTATTTTCAGCCATAACTGAGGGGCAGTTACTGGTGATCAACAACCTATCCCATGCTCCTACTCTATATAGTCACCATAACCAAACCAGGGGAGCGTGGGCCCAGGGGCTGAGTTGCTAATGGGGGAACCTAAAGCTCTGATACCCCCTACAGCCACAGTCTCGGCAGTGTCTAACCCCCTCACCCTAGGATGTTTGAATTGAACTGCAACATCCCACTGGAGAAAGACCTAGAGATCCAGCTCTATGACTTTGACCTGTTTTCACCTGATGATAAGATTGGATCCACGGCCATTGACCTTGAAAACCGACTCCTGTCTGGCTTTGGAGCTCGTTGTGGTCTCTCCAAATCCTATTGCCAGTGAGCGTGGGCCTGAGTCAGGGCAGTTGAGTGGGGATGGGGTGCAGGAGTGAGCGCATAGCTCCTTCAGAGGCCTACTTCCAGAGCCCCTTCTCATGCCTCCACCTCTGCTAATCAGTGTTGCAGCTCTAAGCAGTGTTCTCCAAAACTCAAACCTCCTCTTCCTCATCCTCTCATGTTATTCCCACAGATCGGGGCCCTTTAGGTGGCGGGATCAGCTGCCTCCAAGTTACCTTCTGGAACGCCATGCCAAGCTGAAAGGGCTGCCTCCACCGCTGTTCAATACTGAGGATGACTCTGTTTTTTACAATGGAAAAAAATTCAAGCTGCAAAGCTTTGGTAAGCAGCACAGCACACCCCCCAGAAAGCAAACACAGGCCTCTGAAACCAGTGAGGGCTCCAGAAGGAGTCAGCGGACAGCCCTCCGGGTGAGGAAGGGTGGGGGCCTACTGCCTCTTTCCACCCACCTCCAATCCAGAGCCCAAGCACCCTACTGCTGAGGACCTGGGATCCAAGAAGGAACGCCTTGCACTCTACCTGCTGCACACCCAAGGGCTGGTGCCTGAGCACCTGGAGACCCGCACGCTGTACAGCGACAGCCAGCCAGGCATCGACCAGGTACGAAACTGGAGGGGGACGCTTCTACAAGTACGAAACTGGAGGGGACGCTTCTACTATTTCGTTCTCTATCTTCTTTCCTAAACCTCTGTTCTTTGTTGGTATCATAATATGCTTAGGTAGTGGTTCACATAAAATTACTTGGGAATCAGGACCACCAAACTGGTTACTAAATGAAGGCCCAACAGTCTAGAGTCTTGTAGGAACAGACTTGTCTAGCATGACCTGCTAAATGGCATTTAACTCTCTAGGTCATAAGTGAAATTTCAGCTTCAAAGCCATGATGCCCCACACCAGCCACACTGCAGTGTTCCAGCCAAAACAAGACACAAGGGGGGTTGAGGGTACAGTTGTCTAACTTCCTGTGGAGAGCCCATTTCACCTCATAGATACTTCTGGACTCCACGGGGTACACAGGGCAGGGCTCCCCAGGCCAGCATGCTGAGAACAGAGGTGAACAAACCCAATCAGTTAATCTGTCCTGACTCTAGGGAAAGTTACAAATGTGGGTGGATATCTTCCCCAAGAAGCTTGGGCCTCCTGGTGCTCAAGTCAACATCAGCCTCAGAAAGCCAAAAAGGTGAGTGGGACAGTCCCATTTTCTAATCAGTCCATTTCGCAGTCCAGCCTCCCCAGGGTGCTGAAAACTACTGTTCCCAAACACTGAGTTGCAGTAACTCTTTTCCTCCACTGGGAATCCTGGGAGCTTTCTTCCTCTGAATTGCCCCCCAATTCAGTACAACTTCTGTGAGCGTGGAGAGAAGCCTCCCAGGCTTCTCTTCCCTCACCAAGGCTATGGCTGGGGAGCTATTTCCTTAGCAAAGCCTCAGAGCACAGTGGCTGCAGGTATGAGCTGCGCTGCATCATCTGGCAAGTTAGCAACGTGGATCTGCAGGACAACAATTTTACCGGTGATAAGACCAGCGACATCTACATTAAAGGGTGAGGGGAGGATTAGGGCCCCAGCAGAGAGCCCTCAGATTCTCTGTTCTGTCATTCCTGTTGGGGCCTCCTAACCCTAGGAGTGACAGTTTTCTATTTTCACTGGCATCTGGTAGCTGCTGGGTACTCCTTCTCACAGGGCCCCAGCTTGGGGATGGGAATAATACAAGCAAACCCCAAGTGACAGGTTTTTGGCTCCAGGTGGTTACTTGGGCTAGAGAAGGACATGCAGAAGACAGATATCCACTATGAATCCTTCACTGGGAAGGCCTACTTCAACTGGCGGTTCATCTTCACCATGGACTATCTGGCTGCAGAACACATGTGTGTCCAGAGCCAGAAGGTAACAGGCCCAATGGGAAGGCGGGTGATGGCTTCAGGCACTCCTCCTCTCCTTCCCTCACTTCAGAGACCTGCAAGCTGTACCAGAATACATGAAATGTGTCCTCAGACTGAGCCTAGGCCATCACTGCTAGGTAGTAGGCCATTAATGTGTCTTAAGAGAAATCCCAAAGAAAAGATGCCAGCAAAATGCTCTGCCATCCTCTAGGAATACATATGGAGCCTGGATTCCACATCGATGAAGTTCCCACCCCGGCTCATCATCCAGGTCTGGGATAATGACACCTTATCTACTGACGACTTCCTAGGTAAGCCTTTGTCACAGAGCCATGACCACAGGACAGGGAGTTCCTTCTTGCTGACACCATTTCTCTGGGTCCAGGGGTCTTGGATATGGATTTGTCTGATATGCCTTTCCCTGCCCGGAGGGCCTGGAACTGCTCCATCAAGATGATGGACACAGAGTCCAAGTGGCCCCATTTCCAACAACACAAGCACATCTCCCTCTTTAAGAAGAAGATTGTAACTGGCTGGTGGCCTTGCCAGGTCCTCAAGAATGGAAACTGGAGCTTGTCGGTATGAGTTGGGGGAGGTGTTTATTGACTAGGACAACTGTGCCACATAATTTGGCTTTAATAGACTTGCAGGGACTTAGCTAAAATCCCTTTTTCTTTCGGGATCCTGGGAGGAGGCCCTAAAACTATTCTTGCTCCTGCTTTCTGAACTCAGCCTCCCACCACTTACGGTATTTCTAGGGTAAAGTGAACATGACTTTGGAGATACTGACAGAGAATGAAGCCTTGCTCAAGCCAGCCGGGCGGGGCCAGTCAGAACCTAATCAATACCCTACACTGCAACCCCCCATGTAAGAGTTGGGCAACGGCACGGAATCTTTCTTCTTCCTTGACAAAGTTGAGCTGCTAGGCTTAGCATTTTATATGGGCTGGTGACCTGGTGGGCCTATAAGTGGAGAAGGAAAACTTCTTCTCACGACCCCATCTTAAAGCTCCGTTACAGTCAGGAGAGGGCAGACTTGGGAGGTGGGAGAGTGGCAAGCAGAAGGTGCCTTGTCAAAAGAAAGCTCTTTGCTCTACACCACTTCACCTTAAGTGTTTGTCTCTCTCCTGCCCCTACACAGACGCATCCACACTACCCTCAGATTGCTGCGGTTTCCTCTGCAAAACCTGTGCCAATACATCTGGAAATACAACCGCTACAGAATCCTTACTGTCTTTGCCATACTGATGCTACTGTTAATGCTGTTCAACTTTATCTACTCTACTCCGGTGAGTGATACCCACAGGGACAGGAATCAAAGTTCTGGGACTCCTGGGATGGCTCTGGGGAGACAGCCTTCAGACTACTAGTCAGACAAACTCTGTCACCTCTTCTCTCTAGAACTATCTGGCCTTGAGCTTGGTTAAACCTAGCATCCGGGTAGTTAGTCACAATTAAAACATCCAGCAATGATATCACTTCGCTAAACACCAGCAACAACACCTCTTCATCTGCTCATCCAGGATCTGAAGCTATGCCTTACTGTCATAGACCATGAGTTGAAACCATGGTCCTCTATTGGCACATGAATCGTCTAAAAGTTCTTTTCCCAGAGCTTCCAATCCCATGACAAATTCACCCATGTTTGTCTGATTTTCTTCTGCCTACCATCAGCCCTACCCATGGGCTTCATTTCAGTTTCTTGTTTCTGTATTCTAAGACATGTGCAAAAAGGGCAGAGTTGTAATTTCCCAGCGAAATAAACAAGTTTCAAAACAGAGAGCCACCTTGTAATTTGGGGGTTTGGAGACAATATGGCAGGTTGAAAACACCAGCCTTTCAGACAAGATTCACAAAGACAAGCAGCAATGTCATGTTTATGCACCATTTCTTAACACCCTCGGGGTCTCCTCCATACCAAGAGGCTCGGAAGGTAGAGGAAACCAAGCCGCAGGTTGACTGTAAAGGAGGTAAGTGGCTCAAGCGTGATCAAACAGCATGACCAAGGCCACGGCTTTCACCCAAGCATCCATGTATAAAACCACCACAGTATTGCCTCTAGCACAAATCTGGGATTAGAGTGCCCAGAACAATATTTAGCTCTACTAACAAAGGGAGACATTTGTTTCCAGGACAAAAAGCAAGAGCTGGGACAGGATTAGACAATGCTAAGTCGAGCCATTTTCATACGTCACACAGTTTTATAAGAGCATCCTTAGACTAAGTGGAGACTGCATCTCATGTTCTCCTTGTCCTCTTTTCAAAGTCTCCAGGAGCCCATGAGCTGGAGTCATTCAATGCCCATAGACTTGATCTCTTTCTCATGTACACAGTGCCATGTGAGTGAACCACTCCTCTCTCATCACTGCCTTGGCCATCTTGAGCACCCACCCAAGTCCTCCCACCACATAAGTCCATCCAATCTCCCATGGAAATAATAATAATGATAAAAAGACAAACAGCCATTTGATTTTTCAGTTCCACCTGGTCATAACACCAAACTACAGGTCACACAGTTGAACCTCTGGTCTCCTTGAGCGGCTCAGCTATTGTGAGGAAGGGAGGAGGCTCACACCAGTCCTAGCCCCACTGTCATCCTAGTGCAGGCAGACACTACAGCCTGTGATGATTAATTCATCACATGTGGAAAGCTCTAGAACACAGAAACCTATCCCCAGTCAAGGTGACCCTTCCTTTCCTTCTGGGCCAGGCTATAGGCTGAGGACATTAGTAACTCAGGAGAAGGTAAAGCAAGGGTTGATGGGCTTGAGTTGTGGGCCTTCTCTAGAACTCACTCCTAATAGGAAGGGCACCGAGTCAGAAGCTCATGTTTGGTTCCCATCAGCCATTTTAAGAATTTCCCTTAGGCTCTGGAAATATGAAGGGGCCCTGGTGGTGCAGTGGTTAAGTGCTCAGCTACTAACTGAAAGGTCAGTGGTTTAAATCCACCTGCCACTCTGCTGGAAAGATGTGACAGTCAATTTCCATAAAGATTTACAACCTTGGAAACCCAACTCTGTCTTCTAGGATTGCTACAAGTCAGAATTGACTCAAGGGCAATGAGTTTATAAAGTATGTGCTTAGGAGCGCCTCAGAGGTCTAGGTCTTTCATGGAGATAGGAGCCTACAAATCACTTTAATTGTGGAGCAGACAGATGAGCAGCATATGACCTCTTGTCAGATAAGGCAGTAGAAAATGATCTGACACGTGCAGAGGTTGACACTCAGGCTCTGTTGCTTAGTAATAATAGCACACTATTTCAGGCACGGATGATGAGGGTCTATCGCTCCCTAGACTTGCAATGTGAGAACAACTTTTCTTATCCAGTAGAAAAAGAAGCCTTTTTTGAGGGGAGTACCCAAGTCCAGGCTGTAAGAAGAAAGCTTGTCCTTATATTTTTAACACTCAAAGTGGGGTTCCAAAAATCCTAAGCACAAAGCATGCATTTAAGTAGGCTCCAGCGTGTTCAAAAACATTTCCATATGGTCAGATCACATGGCAAACGTTGCTTTCAGTGTCAAAGCCTGGAGCTGGTCAGTTGCACAGTTATGACATCCATGACATTTTCCAAGCTTCCAAGCTTCACAATGTGCTTGGCCTAGCATGCCTATTGTCAGCCATATCTGACTGAGGTCCGGCAGGGCCCTGATTAGGAAGGTCACAGACATACCAACAGACCCAAGACTCACTAGAGAACAAAGGCTGAAGCGGTAAGCCGAAGAAGAAAGTCCTTTCCACAAATGAAGAACAGTGAAACGTAAGTCTGTCCAGTCGCCCCAGGTCTCAACAGAGAGGCATCCAAGTGTCTTTTCCAGCCCAGCTCTCAATCAGAGAGGACAAAGAGTAGGCGGGAGAGAGGATGGTGAGGCAGGGAAGATGTTTTCACCCATATTTCCGAGGAAAGCTCCTCAAGTAGACAGAGGCTTAGGTAAAAAAGCAAAAATCAATGCGTGGATGGAAGATACGAGGCCTTTGAGGACTTAAAAATGAAGTACGAGAGTTGTCTTGAGTCCAACAAGAAGCAGCCAGGGCTATGAAATTCTTTGTGATTTTGGCATCACAACTGGAAAGGCACATCACAGCAGCATTGCTCTGGGTTGGGCGGGGTTCCTGATCCAGAGTTAGAGGGCCCATGGATGACCATGGGAACACAATGTCCCTGCATTCAAAGCTCCAGTGAAGAATACAGTCCCCAACCAGCTGTCAGAGACTGGAGAAGACCTGCTAGGCTGCGTATTCAAACCAGGGCCTGCTCCTGCCACACCTCCTACGTAACAGTCCGGTGGTGTAGTAGGAGGGCTCAGTAGAAGCGCTTTCGACTCTGTTCCTGCCATTTGTTGTAGAGTATGATGCCAATGACAATGGCAAAGACAGAAAACACCAAGGAGAAAAAGACAATGAGGAAGAGGGCCAAGCCACTCAGAGGCGGCAGTGGGGCAGTCACTGAGGAAGAAAGAGAGAAACAAGTCAGAAACGGAGCCCACCAAGTGGGAAAGGATCAACCAACAGGCTATAAAATCTCTCCCTAGTTTCTAACACCCCTTTACGGGGAACCACAGCTTAGACTAAGTTTCCCTTTCCAGATGTCTCCATTAAAAAACAGCAGCCCTCCTTGCTGCTCATCTGTAACATGAAAAAGCAGGGATAAATACTCCACACTCTTCCCAAGGAAGAACACAGAAAGGAGGCAGCCCTGCAAGCTGTGGATGGAAGCCACCTCAGACCCCAAGCAATCACAACTACTTCCCCTGCCACTGGACCATTTCCCAGGCTCCCCTGGGCTTACTCTCAGGCAGCTTCATATTGTCCACCGAGGGTAAGAACACATCGCGATGCAGCTTCTCCTCCTCTGGAGTTCTGTCTACTGTCAGCTCAAACAACTTCAGGGAAATGACATCATGATTATCTGGCAAAAAAGGAATGAAGGTCACTCAAGCACCCTCAAAAAAAGGTTTCTCGGAGTCAGTTTCTTGGTTTGAGTCTCCACTCCACAGTTACCCTCTTTGTTTCTCATTTAAAGTTAAGGAGAGGAAGCAGGAGATATCCTATACTTGCCTATACATAAGGTTTTACCAACAAGCAAGCATTACCTATATAGCAGTTCTTTAATGGGCCATGGAACTAACTGCCCTTTTATGGTACAACTATTTTTTTGCAGCTCCTTACAAGTGTGACCCTCACCAAGACTTGGGTATTGAGCTATGACCTCAATCAGGTGTAAAAAAGAATGCAGCAGGCAGTACCCGAGAGATCCCCAGTGAGGGAAGAAGTGCCGAAGTAGTAGCCCCTCGGCAGACGGACCCCAGGCACCTCAATGCAGTCCCTCCATTCATGCTTCCCATCGATGTCCATCATTATCTAGAATCAAAAGAGGAGACCCATTGCGGTCAGGCCAATGGAGCAGGAGTGAGAAAGCCCCATGCCACCAGCTAGTATAGGATGAGGACTCACCGTCAAATGCCTCTTGACATAGCGAATCACAAGGAAGGTGTCATAATGGAGATTGCGGACAATGGCTGTACAGCCCCCCAACTCAGTAGGTCGCCCATCTCGCTCATGGTCATAGCTGAGGGAGCCATTGTTCACCATGGCTGAGATGTAGGGGAATACCCGCTAGGGAAGCAGGAAGGAGAAAGCAGAGGACAATAAGAAAGAGCTCTTAGGAATGCCTATACAAACAGCAACAGGACTGTTGCACATACAAGCTCCTCGCAGCAAACCATACGGCCACTCTGCCTTACTGTTAGCAGCCCCTAAGACCTACAGTCAGATGGCCACTCTGGGATATGGCCACGAAACAGACTGAACTCTGTAGCTGTTCCCAATCTGGGGTGGGCCTGCAATGGCACCTGTAAAACACTGGAATCTGACTTGAGTCTGTCTCAGAGATAAACATATGGCATTCAAAAGCTGCCCAAGACTAGTGGTCTTCTTTTGATGTATACGTGCCTATCTTCTCACCTCCCATGGAAGTTTCTTAAAAAGAATCCGTTGTTATGCTTTTTTGCATGTCTCCGTCTCAGTCCTCTCCCATTCCCCCAGGGGCAGTGCTGTATGACTCTTTCCATTTAAAATGTTTGGTTGTTGCGTGCCATCGAGTCAGTTCTGACTCACAGCAACCCTGTATAGGGGTTTCTGAGAGCAACTGGTTGGTTTGAACTGCTGATTTGCAGCTAACAGTTCTTATCCTGCAGTGCCACACCAGGCTCTACCATTGAGAATTGTTCTTTTTAAGTGCTGTCAAGCTGGTTCCAACTCAGAGCAATCCTGTATAGGGTTTCTGAGGAGCAGCTGGTAGGTTTGAACTGCTGACCTTGTGGTTCACAGTCCAGTGCTGACCCTACAGCACCACATCAGGACTCAGAATAGCTCCTTTTGAATCCTAACACTACGAGCAGTGTGCCACTAAATGGATTAGGACTTAGAGCACTGCCAGGACCCGACTGCTAGATGGTGTTATCCGGTCAAGCTGACTGCTCTTAGTCAAAACCTCATCCACACATAAAACCAGTTGCCACTGAGTCAATTGTGACTCATGGTGAGCTCATGTTTGTCAGAGCAGAACTGTACTTCTTAAGGTTTTCTGTGGCTGGGTTTTTGCAAGTAGATCATCAAGCCTTTCTTCTGACGCACCTCTGGGGAAAATCACACCTCCAACCTTTTGGATGGCAGCCAAGCGTGATAACCATTTACAACACCCAGGGACATTATCCAGGAACTCTTTAGGGCAAGGTTCTCTCATCTCAAGCAGAAAAATGAAAGCTTCCCCATGTCCCACCCATTTTCCCAGCTACTTCGGAGGTCCTCTCGCCTCCACAGAGTTGTAGAGGCCAGTCCTCCCTGAAAAATGATGAGCTAACCAGTCTAGAACAGGCCCAGTGCTAAGGCAGTGCAGAGGCAGGTGATGAAAGGAGAGGGTAAGATGAGGCATGCCACTTTTCCCGTGAGCTCCCCAATGTCCTAAAAAGACAACATGCAAGGTGGAGATGCAGCTGAGATCAGAGACTGGTGACTCTTGAGATAACAGCCACATGGATTTCAAACAGCAGCAAATGTTGGGTGGACACATAGGGGGATGAGAGAAAGCCAAGGTGGGTCAAGAATTGAGTACCTGGACTGCAGGAGAATATCGCCTCTTCTGGGCCTGAGGGGTCCAGCAGGTTATTATGAAAACAAGAGAGGGCACAGAAGACAGGAGATCAAGTCAGAAAGCAACAGCCATGGAAGAGCTATGACCCAGCTGTGATGGATGAACAAACAAACCTAAATCCTCAACCAAGATTTTAGGTCCAAGGAGAACATTCAGCAGATTCTGCATGCCCTTTAATGATATGTAAATATATGTAAAATCATGTGCACAGGCACTTGTACATTTTTCTGAGGAGAAGGTCTGTTAGTGTCATCAGATTCTTAAAAGAGTCTACTAGGGAAGACCTTCCTAACCCAGGGAGCATCCTGAAGCTTGCAAAAGGAGCCTTCTAAAACATAGTCGCACACTGCCTAGGCAGGGCCCCCTATGCCTCTGGAGGTCAGAAGATCAGGACACAAGCCTATCTACATCTAGACCACAGTACTACTACAGCAAAGGTAGAGATGGGAGAGACAAACAGGACTCAGTTCTTCCAAATTCAAAATGTCACTTATGATCGGAATCTCAGGATACAGTTCTTGCCCAGAAGACAGAAACCTCACAACTAAAGAGACTATGAATGAAATGATATACAATAGGATGAATGTAAAGCTAATTTCCTCCCATGTAAACTATCATATAATTCACAATGAAACATTAAAAAAAATAAAAAAGAGAGACTATGAAATTCATTCTAATCCACAGGGATGACATACCAGCTAACTGAGCACTGTGGACAAGGGCAAGGAAGACATTCATGAGAGTGCTGCAACATGGTAGATTAAGAGAATTTAGAATCAGGCTGGAGCTATATTAAGCTTTGCTTCAGAAAACTGCCACAGTTCTAAACCACTAGCAACAGACTTACTTCAACCTTGCCCTGAGGGAAAGATGGGTGAGGGAGGAGAGTCCAAAGCATTCCTCCAGTACTTAGCCTCTTTATGAGCCACTAATGAAAGTGCCATGGGCTGCCAAAAGAACCAACAGATCTGTGTTGGAAGAGCTGCAGCTAGAGTGCTCCTTGGAAGCCAGGATGCCCAAACTTAGTCTCTCATATTGTCAGGAAGGACATATTGTCAGGAAGGACCAGTCTCTGGAGGATATCATGTTTGGTAAGGTGGAGGGTCTGAGAAAAAGAGGAAGACCCCCAGTGAGATGATGGACTGGCAAAATGGCAGCATCAATGGGCTCAAGCGTGGCAACAATAGTTAGGTTGGTCCAGGACCAGGCAGTGTTTCGTTCTACTGTGCATGAGGTCACTGTAAGTTGGTACCAACTCGATGACAACTAATAACAACAACATTCCAGATGCTGGGGACTTAAAGGGAAATAAGCCAAACAAGATGCTCTCACTAAGCTGAGGTTTTAGTGGAAGAGGCAAGCAATAAACAAATACGCAAAATTATTTCAGATAGTGATAGAGGCTATGGTGAAAATAAAATAGATAACACAATAGAGACGGGTGAGGAACCATGTCTTTGAAGAAGCAACATCTGAGCTGAGACCCAAGTAATTAGAGGGAGTCTGCCAAAAGAGTTTATGAGCCCAATATGGGAGCAAAAGAATCATGAGGTTGGCATATTCAAGGAACTAAAAAAAGCTGGAGGTGAAAATGCAGCTAGTGAGGAAGAAGGTGGTATGAAGCAGAGACGACAGAGGCAGACAAAAACCAGACCACATAGGGCCTTACAGACCACAATAAAGAGATGGAGGGACCTCAGAACTTCTCCCCGGCTGTTCTTCTCTCATGGCACTGTTGTCAAAAAGGTACAGGTCTACTGAAGGTATGACTGTTGGTAGGTGCTGATTTTGACTCAGAGTAACCATAAGTATAATAACAGGATGAAGCATTGCCCATTAGTGGATATTAAATGACCATAGACTGGTTTTATAACGATCGTTTAGAAGCAGTTTACAGAAATGGGTTCCTGACAACAGACAGATAAGGGGTTGTAAATGACCTGGACTGTTCTGATAACTCCAGGCCTTGTTTCAGTATCACCCCTAAGACCTATGGGTCACAAGTTTAAGCTTCCACGATAAAAAAGTGCCTAGGACACTTTCTATAGGTATTTTACCTCACCAAGGCTTGGATGGCATCCAATTTTCTGATAATAGCCAGGATTGAGGTAGGCTGGACCTCAGAATCACTTTGGGAGCTTTTCAGTGGCAAAGCTATGGGGTCTCTTAGCCAAAGAGTCTCATTCAGTTGGTCTAGGGTGGGATGCTGGATTAAGCATTTCTAAAAAAAGCATCACAGATGACGGTACAGTCAAATTTAAGCAAACACTGCACTAGGCATAAAGCCTCATAGCTATAGAGCCGAAATTTCTTGACTTCAGCAACTCATGACTTGGCCTTCAACTTTTAACCTCACATTAGTAGTCTTTAAATACCATCTTATTTTCCATGTCTAATCAGGAGTTCTTAAAGTATCTTTTGGGTAGCCACTAATTTCACACAGGAGCAAAGTTTCTTTCCTGAAAAGCAGCCGGGACCAAAGACTGAATAATCACAGTGACTCCAATAAGGCAGCGGTATTGTTAAGTGCTGTCGAGTCAGTTCCAACTCATAGTGACCCTGTATAGAGTTTCCAAGGAATGGCTGGTGAGTTTGAACCGTCGACCTTGCAGATCAAACAGACCTTGTGGACCAGTGCTTATCCTACAGCACCACACAGTAAGGTAGTAGTTTCATTTCTAGTAAAAGAACCACCAGACAAATAACTCCTGCCACCTGTCTGAATCATTGCTGTCTCTAGGATGAGCAATTGTTTTCAACTTTGTTTACCACAAGACTACTTTTGTAAAAGCAAGAAAAAAGAAAGACTCTACATATTTTATTTCCAGCATTTCTTGATTGAAAGAGACATACAAACTTGTGGATTTATGAATCCTATGCTAAAATTGCACAGAGCCAAAGCATACTGGCTGAGGGTCCCTAAACAGAAATAAGAGCAAGCAGGGCTCTGTAATCAGGAGACCTTGGTTCTAATGGAGTTCTACTCCAATCATAGCTATATAACTGTAGGTGGATTATATTACCTCTCTGACCCTCCATTCTCTCATCAGTACACAGAATACACAGGCCACAGGTTTAGCCATAAAGATGAAATGAGATATGCAAAGCAGAGTCTGGCATTCCAAGAGTCAATAAATGTTTGTTCAGTGAATGACTAATTAATCAGTCTTTAGATACAAATCTGTCTTGGAAGAAGTACACCCAGGATGTTCCTTAGAAGCAAAGATGGCAAGACTTTATCTCATGTATCTTGGACATATTATCAGGAAGGCCTAGGTCCCTTAAAACAGACATCATGCTTGGTGGGGGGACAAAAAAAAGGAGAGGAAGGCCCTTAAGTAGATGAGATGGACTGACATTGTATCTACAGCAATGGGCTCAAGCATATCAACAATTGTGGGGATGACACAGGACCAAGCAGTGCTTTGTTCTGTTGTACAATGGTAGGGTTGCTGAGTCGGAA